AAGATAACATCGTTATTTTGACGTTTTGGGGGTGTAGGTCACGCTAAACTCCTCAATCTTTTTGAAGGCCGCCTTTTTTCTCGATTGTGTGGTCAAAATATCTTACGATTCAATTGGAAAGCAAATGGGTATTTGCGATTTTTTAGTACCTAATTAAATGAACAATGTTTGCCGATCTCCAGATTAAAAAGACCCTAGTTCCGACTATTCTCGTAAATATAATAGTTTTAGGTGACGATGAGATGAAGCTATTCACGAAGTTTTAGGCGGATTTTAATAATTTGATAAAAAGGGATCTGTAACACGGACTAGTTTCCATTACAGGTGAAGGTTAGCATGTGACTTTTATGGCATTTTAATCTATTAATCTGTCAATTACGATTGTCGACGATCAGCAGATCTTCTGGCATAGTCAAGGGAAAATAATCGCTCTATTATATAAAACAGTTTTTAGAAATTATAATTTTAATATAGTTGACAAATTTCATGACGGTTAATAGTTAACAGTAAAGTATTTGGCTTATGAGCAAAATTTGAAATTGATGTATTTAGATTCATCAAATTGCAGTTGTTTCATTTGCAATGGATTTCCGCAACCCTGAATTGGTAAACGTCATCTCTTTCTCATACATCACATAATTTAATTTAGTCAAATTTCAAGTGTCCTAAAATTTCAAGTCTAAAATTGCATTTTTGAAAATATAAATCTCCCAGTAGGTAGATGCAGAGTAAGCGTCAAATTTTGCTTATATAATATCCATTTATTGTATTTGAAATAGCAAGGTTTCTAAAACGGGTGTATTATCCCAAAGACGGATTTTTTAAAATTCAGTCTGCCAAAGGATAGCAGTAGATAGCTTAAAAATGACACTTTTTAGTAAAAAGATTCATATATAAAAGTTTCTTATATATGACAATGAGTGCCATTTCCGATAAATTTGAATTTCATTGATTGACCACTATTTTGGAAGCTAAAGCATGTTTTACTTAGAATGGTATACTATTTTGTAATATGTATCAAACATTATCCAAAAATGAGTACTCTTTTTTGGCACCGGCGTCAGGGCTATAAGCTAATTTTTCAAATAAATCTTCATCAACCATTACCCAACAAGGGGGACTGTGGCCACCTTTGCATTTAAATTTAGAAATTTCCGACTGCTTCAGCACTTACTAGACCAACGCTCTAAACTTTCAATTAATTACAAAAGACTCATCTACATAACCATAATAAGACCTATTTGGACGTACGGAGTTGAGCTTTGGGAATCTACCAAACCATCGAATTCCTATCGTACCAATCCAAAATCCTTTATGCCCCTTATTTTGTCACAAATAAAACCATTCATAAAGACTTTAATGCTCCAAATGTAGCTGATTTAGCTCGAACCAGATAACTATCCATTCGTGATAAACTCCAGTCCCATCCGGATCCACTTGTTTCCTACCATGCTTCTTCCTCGATTCTTGATAATCCTCCTGGGCTTCTGAAAAGGCCTAGCGGTCTTCTTACCTAGAATTAAATTGGGGGTGCTACCGCTGGGTAGTATCTTAAGTCTGTTCATGTCATTGTTGCTAATGTGTGCATATTTACTGGTTGTATTTGTAAACAGCTGTAAATTTCATTAGATAAAAAAAATATATAAATTTGATTTGGTGAAATAGAGTCAGTAATTATTTCTCGAGTATTTTGAAATTATTTGTGAAATTCATGAGTTAAAAATAACCAGTATCAATGGACTTTCGTGACAAAACACAAGTTGCTACAAAACAACATATAAAACAACACCAGTTTTCTAAACAATTTTCATAGATTGACATCAGATCTGGTTTTGTCAAATACTTCCTTTTGAAGTGTGACGGACTGCTTCAAGTAATTTTCTGATGTCCAAAGCCAATGAGAGGCCAGAAGCCCGCAGGGTACGGAAGCTTGGTGGGGAGCGGCAGTTGATGAGACTCGTCGATGTCACCTGAGGCTTCATATAAATGATGACAGGGGCCAAGTAGGTTTCCTTCCTGAAGATGTCGTGAAGGATCCTTATCAGCCTTCCTGCTTGTTGTCAAGAGCGGCACGCAGCCACAGCCTCCACTATAATTACATATCATTATCCTCTGTAGCTCTTGTCATTTGCTATAACACGAAACAAAGGCCTTCTTAATAGCGTCACTCCTTTTTATCAATTCATCCGTTCGTCTCTTTTTAGGATAACAGTCTGTGGCGGCGACGGAGGTGTGTTATGCGGTCGCACGTGCCCAGCAGTTGGCTAAAATAATCGCCTCTACGTGGCAATTATATGTGCTAACAATTAAGGAGATAGGTGCTATTAAATTTTGTACTTTCTAGTAATTACATTAACAACGGTATAATAAACAATATAGAGAAAATATCTCGCGGAGGAACTGCATGACTCGAAAATGTCATTAGCGATTGGCAGCACTTCCATGATTGATTGCTTTATTTACGAAGATTACGAGGGCATTTTCTTTTTCAGATCCGCGCTAACGGGTTTCAAGTGAGTTTGAATTTGATTGTGAAAGGATAGATACGTATTAAAGTATGTAAGATATGAAATAAAAAGAGAAGTCGTAGGAGAATAGATAACCGATAATATTAACTATGGGCACCCAGAAGACGGTTGTATAAACCCAGAAGTTATACGATCAAAATTTTTGAGAGGAGCATATTTTTTATGTAGATATGAATTCTCGAAAGGGGTATATATTTACATTTATAAATTACATATTATGGGGTATTTATTACATTATATATCTCTTAATGTAAATATTCTAAGAGTGCAACTAGAGGATAGTTTCTCAACAACTATTTTCATGTCATCATATTCATTTGTTCATATTTACTAGACTTATTTTTATATTAATTCGGTTGTAAATCTCATGAATAAAATAATAAACAACAACATATTATTAGAAGATTTGATTATGATAATGATATTCATCTTATTGTTAATGTATGTTTCGTTTTAAGGGAATTTCACGATTTTTCCTTAATTTTTTGTTTTGGTATATACACAATATTTTGGTATATATAGCATATTTTAAGATACGTGTTTTCGGAAGGTGTATATATTTACGGTATTATGAATTTTTTTATGGAAAAAAAATTTGTTTAGGGTTTTATTATGGAGAAATTTCAAACCAAACGATAAGGAAAAACATATTATTCTTATTTAACTTTTATTAGCACCGTTTTTAAGAAGTGAGCAATCAATTTTCATGAGGGCATGAGCCAATTATTTGAGTGATCAATATGATTCAAGAGGAAAATTATTTGAAGCTCTTACTTGCCACGTTTTAATGAAACATTAAATTGATTTTCATTGAATAAAGATCTCATAAGATTGTATAAAGATTGAATAAAGATCTCATAAGATTGTACAAAAATTCAGACAATACCGTTCCATTTAGTTATGTCTGTTTTTAATATATATATATATATATATATATATATATATATATATATATATATATATATATATATATATATATATATATCTATATCTATATCTATCTATATATATATCTATATATTTTATATATATATATATATATATATATATATATAATATATATATATATATATATATATATATATATATATATATATATATATATGTATATATATATATATATATATATATATATATATATATATATGTATATATATATAGTTCAGTATTCAGTTTTTCAGTATATATATATATTTAGAGTACTGATACCGTAGTTTAATTCATTTGCTTAAAACAATTTTTTTTGTGCGACCATTTCGAATTTGTCTGTATTTTTAAACCATATTTCCTCCGAAGCGTCTGAAAAGAAGATGCCCCCGTGATCTCCTAATGTACGTATTTTAAGAGTGCTACCAGAGGATAGTTTCTCAACAAGTATTTTCATGTCATCATATTCATTTGTTTATATTAACTCGATTTATTTTTATATTAATTTAGTTGTAAATATCCTGAATAAAATAATAAACAACAACATATAATTAGAAAATTTAAGTATAACAATGATATTTATCATATTGGTAATGTGTTTTTAGTTTTAAGGTAATTTCACGATTTTTCCTTAATTTTTTGTTTTGGTATGTATACAATATTTTGGGTTGTTCATACCCATGATGTTTCGTTTCATTTGTATGCATATAACCAAAACACCATTTATACATGTTACTGTTTAAGTAATCGATTGATCATTTAAATAAACTTTTGTATTTTTATTTTTGTCCAGGAGAATAAGATTTGCATAATAACTTCAATTTTCTGAAGATACTTGGGTACACTTCATATGGTAAAGCGATTCGTTAAAGGTCAAGAATATGTAGGCTCTATTCTCTTATTTTAGTGATTTGGTCTTTTATCACCCTTAACCCTTAACGTATAAATCTTTTGTATTGATTACATCTTTATTTATAATTTATGAATAATCTTTGAAAATCTTTAAAATTAGGGTGAAACTCTTGTATGTCATAATATGAATATAAAAAGAAAAGGAATAAAGCGGAACATAAAACTAAATTTGTTTATTTATTAAAAGCACATTTATATAGGACAAATATTATGATATGTATCCTACTTATATATATATATATACGATACGCCCTTGTTGTATGCTGTGCGATGTATGATAAAATAAAAATTTTCAATATTTTATAATTTTGGTTTGAGAGAGGTTTATAGATGTAGTTTGTTCCAATATTGATAATAATGCAAAGATATAATATGTTTTTATATATGTTTAAATAACAAATATGAATTTATTGAGTAATTTTGTAAGATAATAACAGAAACTGTACAGATTGGGAAAAACAAATTGTTTAAATTAAAATATAATGTATATTGCTAAAAGGTACTAAAAAGGGGATAAGGAACACTTGGTACTTGAATACCTATCTGTTTAAGTTATTATGAGTGCGACATAACCGTTACTATACTAGCAACCCTCCTCCGCGGAGGGGGAACAGACCCTAGGGTACCGTTACTCTAATAGATGTCGCCGAACTGGAGGGCCTGGTGGTGACGGAGGTCTTCCAGGGAGGTTACGGTTTCCGTGACGATGAGGGGCGGCGCAGAACTAGCCGCGCCGCCCCCCTCCTGCCGCATCAAGTTCCGCCGCCACTTTGCCCGAGCGTTCTGGAACCAGACCTGTCAACAATGTTTATATTATTATTGTTATTGTTATCATTTATTAATATTTTTAATTAGTATTTAATTTAAAAATTACAATCACTAATAAGCGGTAAATGGAAATGATATTAAAAAACAAACAAACAACAAAGCTGTATCATTTGAGTACCTTATTACTTAAGTGAACCATAGTAGAATTTTGGACGTCGAGATTAGTATCGATTCCAATGTCGAAAACCATCCGAGGAATCCGATGGTAAAATATTTGTTTTCAAAAGCGAACACAAAAAGAAAAAGTTGATTCTAATACAGGTCTCTTTTCGAGGAATACAATAATAATTGATAATTCCTCAAATATCTAAAAAAAATATCAAAACATCTTAACAACAGTTTTGTTTAAATGAAAATTAGAACTAAATTAATTTTATTGTAGCATCGCTATAAATAAAATGTTAAATTCTTATGGTACAATTTTGATAACTTTTTCTTCTCGGATCATAACCAATTTTATCCATCCAAACCGAATCCTAATTTCCGTTTTTCCAAGAAGGGCTTTGAGGTTTTTTACGGCCTATTTAATTTTCAATGTTTTTTAATTTCTCCTCGCGGGTCTTACCGCGTATGGGGAGCGTCCCACGGGTGGCGGATGTGGGGATGGTCGGTGGAAATTCCTTGGAAGTTCCTCCCGGCTAAGTCCGATGGACTCGCTGACCAACAATGAGAGGGGCCCTCCAGACTTGCTGGAGAGAGGGGACCTCCAGATTTGCTGGAGGTAGGGGCCCACCAGGCTTGCTGGAGGGTGTGACGTAGGATTGAACGCCCTACTCACATATCTTTAGTTCACCAAACACCACAAAAAGTCATGGATCGATCTGAAGGGACTGGGTTTGGACGGCGAACGATGGAGGGAGGTGTGTAACAAGCGATTGGTGGTGTCGGCATCGAACCTTCGGGTTCGCTAAGCCTTATTATTATTATTATTATTTTAACTTCTACTAAAATAATCAAGTTATTGAAGGAAGCTAGTCGACTGTTCAATATAATATTCAGTGATAAATATTCAGGACGCAGTCTTATAATTTTTGTTTTATTTGTGCCAACGTTTCAACCCAAACATGTGGGTCACCATCAAGGCGTGGTCCGAGCACTGAAGGCTTTCAAGTACTCACTTGATGCCTCATTGAAAGCCTTCAGTGCTCGAACCACGCCCTGACGATAACCCACATGCTTGGGTTGAAACGTCGGCAAAAATAAAAAAAATTCATAATGACTGCGTCTGGAATATTTATCACCCATAAAATAATCAAAATTTTTCAGAAATATGAGCCGAAAAAAAAGAATTTTTAATTTATTAAAAAAAAATACATTGCTTTTGATATTTCAATTGGAATAGAAGATACAGTTTTTCGCGTTTTCTGAAAGAATTCTCAATAATTTTCACTTTGTAAATATACTACTCATTAAAAAAAAAAGTAGAAAAAACCATCGTACATCAATTTTTATAATTTTGATTAGAAAGGGTCAACTAGAAAATTAAACTTACATGCAGTGCCCTTCCTTGCGGTGTGGATTTCCTGGTATCGGCACCGTTAACATATGTCAAAAAATAATATTATGAAAACTTCCTCAGACGCAAATTAAAAATTGAGTTGAACATGCACTGTTCACCCGTATACAAAATAGTTGTATCATAGCGAGTTTTGCTCAATTAATGGCTGAAGTAAATAATTCTTTTAGAGAAAAAAACAAGTTTTCCTCAGTAATCAATTCATCAGTCCTGAATATTGTATTTTGAATATTTTGTGAAATTTGTGAAATAACATACCGTCAATCGGTAGTTTATTTCGCAAGTAGTTGTCATTGTTCGTAATCAGAGAGCACATTTGATTTATTGTAAACTTATTGTAGAGTTAAAAGTCCCATTAAATAAACTAAAAAAAGTTCAGTAACAGTTCATTATCTTGAGGCACTATCTTTTATAATTCACCGATTTAAAGTCAATTGCTCAAACATTTGACGCATGTGTCGAAATAGATGTAATAAAAACGAAATAAATTAATTTTGATCTAATTAGTAACACCTTTGTGGGCACTTCCATCTAAACTACTAAAATACTCACAGTCATAAACGGACTGAGGATCTAAAGGAAACAGACAAGGTGAAATAAAAATTAATTAGGAAGGGTGCGTGATCCAGGTGGCTCGAGTGGCTAATCCACTGGTCATCGCCTACCGCATGCGCATGCGCCCTCTAATTGTTCCTCTCTCCTCACCTGACTGGGTGTTCCAACCCCTCTCTTATCCTAACTATTAGGCACTTATCCTCAGTTCCAAATATATAATAGTAGATAAAGATTCTAAATATTTCATCTAATGAGCGGAAATCCTGATAACTTTCGCCTGCATTGCCAAGTCAATGAATCAATGGGCAAACTTGAAATTTTGGCATTTCTTCCAATCAAGCAGTTTGTGGTCTACTTTCTACTAAATTAATCCAGTTAACCTGAATAACCCCAAATGATGATTTTCTTATTCCAATTATTTATATTCTCACCTAGATATGGCGATTTATTAGTCCTTGGTACAGACTCCTTTCCATCAAATTAATAACATCCGCCTCAAACTTCGTAAATAACATCATCTCATGGGTTTATTGGGTCAATCCCAAAATTGCCAGAGTGATGTACATATTTTGTAAACACTATTATTATTCTGAGCGGACTTCAGTCCCAGAATAAAATTATTTTTCATTTCATTTCTCATCGTAATTTACAGAAATTCTCGGAATTGAGGCGTTTTCAATCTGAAGATCGGCAAATTTTGTCTATATAAATAGGTACTAAAAACTCCTAAATAACAATTTGCTTTTCACTAGATGGTAGGCTAATTTGACCACAAAATCGAGAAAAAAAGTTGCCTTTAAAAATATTGAGCCGTATAGCGTGACATACATTCCAAAAATTTCAAAATAACGGTTATATAGACCAAACAGCTCAATTTTTTTGTATGCCACCCTTTTTCTTGATTTTCTGATCAAATTATCTTACAACCCAAGTGGAAAGTAAATGGGTATCTACGAGTTTTTAGTACCTAATTAAATATACAAGGTTCGCCGACCTCCAGATTGAACCTTTATGTTTTTTTTTATGTAGGCATTTATTCCTTATGTAGGCATTAAATAAAAAAACAATACATTCATACAGCTTTAAAGAGCAATAATTCACCTTTCCAACGGATTTGACAGTAACATCGAATTTGGAGAACATCCTGAAGAGTTATAAATGATCGAAAGGATGTTGTGTTTCACCAATACAATGCTATATCCCAAAACCTCATTGCCCACTCGCAATAAATTATTGAGCCTTCGATGGAACATTTTGTCCCACCCTCTCTATTCACCAGACCTAGCTCCAAGTGACTACTAATTATTTCGGTCTCCACAAAACTCCATGAATTGAAAGAAATTCCAAAAGGAAGATGACATCAAAAACCATTTGGATCAGTTTATTAACAATAAACTCCTGACATTCCATGAACATGGCATTATGCAGTTGTGGAAAGATGGAAAAATGTCATATTAAATAATGGTCAATATATTGTAGATTAAAATAAATTTTATGTCTATTCAAGAACTTGAAATAGAGAGTTCAGTAATTTTGCCCAATTTAGGAATACTTTTAAGATCAGAAAAATTATAATTTCTAAAAACAAACCATTTCTTACAGATTGCTTGAATTCAGTGAACAAACATGAATTGCTTCAGATCTTCTTAAAATATGTCTATATATTTACCTGGAGAACCCTCTTGGATAGTCCAGTCTTCTGGGCCAGCTGTTTGAGGTCTTTTGCATCGGGATTTTGGTTGATGGCGAAGTAGGATTTCATCGTCCTCAGCTGGTGGTGCTTGAAGGAAGTTCGCATCCTCTTGGTCCTCTGCTGCTGCACGCTCGGCGAAGTCACGGAGCTCTCGTAGGTCAGCGACTCCATGGACGAAGAGAGATCTCCGGAATGGATAACTTCTGTGGAGGAAAAGAAAGAGAACATATTATGTTTTATTGCTCATTTTTCTTTCGATTAATGTTCTTCTAACATAAAGAAACGATACATTTTTTTTTTACATTTAAAATATAATTCATGTTGTACTCAAGCAAAGAAATAGTTTGTATACATCAAGAAGAAATCATTGTGTATTCACATATAAACTAAATTTGTAAAAATTATTATACTAAATAAGTATAAATTATTGTGTATAGGATAAATTAAATTATTCTAATAAAATATTAAGAACATACATTTTTATTAGTAAATAAATTGTATTTATAAATAAATAAAAATTAATAAATTTTTTTAAGAAATAATGGAGTATTGAAACATCACCTTATTTTTGGATTTTAAATTCATTTATTACTGTAATAAACAATCAGAACTGTTCAAATAAATTTATAGACATTGAAACTAGGATATACAGAAAATAGTCGTCCAGCATCGTATATATATATATAACAAATTAATCTATATATAAAAATGAATGTATGTCTGTCTGTGTATCTGTCTGTTTGTCCTTCATGTATTACTAAGCCATTGATTCGATCGCCATGAAACTTTGGGAAGTTGTTGCGTACACTCCTGGGAAGGTTTTTTGCATAGTACTTCTGTCTTAGGATAATTTTATATATGTAAAAAAAAAGTGTAAATGTTTTTTTGTTCAAAATCGCTATTCTCCGAAAGTTCTTCACCGATTACTTTGGAATTTTTACACATCGTTGCAATCGAATTCAGGCGTGTTTTTGAACATTTAATCACCATCCAGACTTTCGTTTCGAAATGCTTGCCGAAAAACGTGTCGCTATAAACTGTAGCGCCAAAATGGCTTTAACGATTTTAACGAAACTTGGCTAAAGTCTTTCCCTTGAAACCTTTATAATTTATTTCTATAACATACTTTTCCAAAACAAGCTGAAAAAATGTTACGATAAATTAAAAATTTTATTTGCCTATAACTAAAAAAGGACACAATTTTTTATTGATAGTACCCATATTTACTTCAAGATTCCTGAATATCCTACAGAATAAAAAAAAATTATCGAAATAAAAAAGCATTAACTTCGAAATGAAACAATTTGTAGCGGCTGTAGGAGTAAAGTGGGTTAAAATATTTTTTTTAAGGAGAAACAAAGTTGAGATTTGTATTTCGCACTTATATTTAAATAATATACAAATAATCTTTTTTAAATTTAGAAAATTCAAGAGTATGCATCGCTAGGTGCTATCTCCTTCATACATGCCTCGCTATGTCATGTATGTTTTATATTAGATCATTTTCTGATTGTAATATTTTACAAATGGAAATAAAATATTCGTCATAAAAAAACAAAAACATTTTCCTGCGATTTTTATATTATTTTATGGGTTTCGGCTTTATTCAAGATTATATATTTTAAAAATTGAACATTGTTTTTTCGGTATAACAGTTTTGGTTTTTCCTATAATACATTTTTTTATTATAAAGATAATTTATTGAAAATATGCAATGCAAAATATGTTTAAACATGCACATATAAAAATGTATGAACTATTAGGGGCTATGATAACCTATACATTACATTCTCTTTACCTTTCAAGATATTTGATTTAGTTATGTGAGATTATCTCACAATTTTGCTATGTCTGAAAGTAATTGTAATAAAATTTCGCTAAACGGATTCTTATAAAAAAAATTATTGCTTTGTTCCTATATCCTAGATTTTCCAATAAGCGATAAGTTCTGAAATACAACAAATTGCTTGAATATGTAATTTTCTATAATAAAAAATTATATTAAGTGTGTAATATTGTTGTATAATATTAATCATACTAATTATATAATGTAATTAATTAATTGTCTCTCTTGTCGCTACCATCAAAAGAGCTTTGGGTCGCTCAAGATTTGATACACTAAAAACATTTTATTTCGATCAGAGAGCTGAAGTCCCCTAAAATAGATTTTTTTTTTTCATTTGTTTTTCTTCATATTTATTTTTATGAGGAATCTAAGCTAAATGAAATCTTACAGAGTCATAATATATTTTTTTTTTATATTATATTATATTTAGAGCAATGAAAAGTAAGCACGTACAAATATATATATATATATATATATATATATATATATATATATATATATATATATATATATATATATATAACAAAATATATCTAAAAGGATATTGTTCCTATAGTTACGGGTTAATATATATATTTTAATAGACCTTTGAAGGACCAAAAATCATTCCATTCAATTTTTTTTTCTTTTTTTAGTGATTAATGTTAAAAAAAAAAACTCTTTAAAATTAAATCCTGGATCTGCAACTTCTTCGGACACAGAACTTCGGAAGTTTTTGATTTAGACCTCAAGAGGTTACAATTGATTTTTATTCCAAAAGATTTTTTTATAATATCAAGTTGCGATAGTTATAGAAGGAAGTTATTTAGTACTTGATTACCTTCAGAGCTCAAATGATGACTCACATGTTTGGGTTGAAACGTCGGCACTAATAAAAACTTTATACTGACTGCGTCTTGAATATCTACCACCCATGTAGTAATTATAAATTAAATATTGTGGGTATATAAAAAAAATTATTGAAAAATATTTATCGAACTTTTAATATTGTTACAGTTAAAATAATTAGATTTATGTTTTCACTGAATTTATGGTTTTATAATATCTGCAACAGGAGGTAGCGTTTGAAGTGTTGACTCTTGAAAGATCTCAGGAGAGGTCTTTAGCCCATCTATCTCATTTTTAGTTAATTCAGATTCGGATGTCTTATTTCCCTCCGGTGAGAAGATGGATGGTGTGGAAGACAGTCCCAAAGCCAGAAGGTGTGATGGCGGCAGAGACGATGCAGGTCATAGCCACGACTACGGTGATCAACTTCATGTCTTCACTCGAGGTTGACTGACTAAAGAATGTACCTGAATGCCGTCTTCGTGGCCTTATATATCGGCAGAGCGATTAACAGGTTTTATTATTAGCGTCAAGGATAAACAAATATGACGTTCTGTTATAGAATTTTATTATTTTTAAAAATTCAAATGTTTTTTTCACCGCCATTTCCTTGTAGTTCAAGTTTTGTTTTAAGCTTTCTGCTATATCCAATTTTGGTTTATTGTTTTCAATAATGAACCATTGTAAACGAACAAAAATTCAAAAACTTAACACCTCAAAATTTGAGGTTTTACGTTTCAGGATAGGTGAAATTCGAAAAACTTGGGATTTAAAGTCAGAGGTCACACTAGGATAATCCTCCTTCATCGACATTACTGTCCGAATTTTCCTTTCAAAATGGCGGCCGAAAAACCTGGGTAGCTGTAGGCTGTAGCACCTAAACGAATGTACCGATTTCAATGAAACTTGGTTTAAGTCTTTTTTCGATGCCCTTTAAATTTACCTATATAACATACTTCAACGAAAATAAGCTGGAAAAAATGTTATGAAGGATGGTATAATTAGATTCTGAATAACTCAAAAAGTATACACTTTTTTGTTGATATTGTGATAAAATATTTCAAGGGTTTTTTATTTCTTAAAAAACTATGAAAGATATCGCGATTTTTAAATATTTTTGTTCTATTATTTTCAATAGTGAACCATTGTAATAGAGCAAACAATTAAAAAACTTAACTCCCTCTCTATTATATACTATGGTTATTTCAAAGTTTATGAAATTTCATTAAAAAAATATATATATATATATAAATGTTCGTTAATAAGTTTTCTGTTAAGTTGTAAGCAACGTATGATATATCGATCAGTTTTGAAATATACAATAGTTTTAAATTATTTATTTTTTAGAAGAAAAAGCAATTAATAAGATAACTCTTTATGAAATGGATCGTAAGTTTTCTGAAGTTTTAAAATTAAAAGCATGAAGTCTCTTCAAACTTTGAGGTAAACTTTATAAGAAACCAATTAATGTTTCTACAAGTTCCATTAAGACTAAATATAATTACTTATTTACGGTAACACACTAGTTTATTTGTCCTTTTTTGCACTCCATGCAAGCGTTAAATCAAATGAATAATAATTAAGCCCTTTATTATTAGCGACCTTATCTTAGATATGAGGTATGAATAAAATTATTATGACTTTATTAACTCTATTCATAAATGTTAACTAATAAAATAGTTCTAAAAAATGCTATTGTACCTCCGTAAGAAACGTTTCGTTATTAAGTAACATTCGAAGTAGCTGTTTGGGAATATGGAGATTTCTAATAACTAAGAGCATGATTGAAAAATTCATTCTAAATACTTCAACTTTCGATATTGTGATGACCATCATAATAGTCCAAGGGGTCGTTCAAACAAATCTATATTATCTAAAGAAAATTTTTAAAGCATTTTTTTGCATATTTATATTAAAAAAAAGTTTGCCAATCGGATCTTGTTACCTGTTAAAATAGCGGCTTAACTTAAGGATCGGAATGGGAAATTCATTGCGAAAAATGTTAAAAAGTTTTTATTATTAAAAATTTTATATATCGGTTTAGACAAGTAAAAAATAAAATACAAAATCGACGTTTAGAAGAAAAAAAAATTCGAATTCGCTTTAACTCTGACACTAAATTCCGTATAGTCTAAATGGCGATGAAGATGTGAAAAAAAAATATAATAAATAAAAATAAACTCCACATGGGGAAAAGCCTGATTTTTCCATGTTCTTTCATCTATAACTCTAAACGGTGCATCGAAGCTAGAAAAACAAAACAAAAAACAAATTCTTTAAGAAATCAAAGAACGTTAAATTGTGGGTTGAACGAGTACCTAAACTTAATCATTTGGTTAGGTGGTGTGGTCGTTAACCACGTTCAACGAACGCTTATTTTGGCCAAATTCGTCAAAACTTGAAACAAATTACTATTAATGGTCCTGCAGCTTGGACACGAGTACTCTAAAAGAAAAAACTTCATAGAATAGAAGTTGTAGAGCATTAAATTTCGCGTCGACTGTAGTGTTCCGCGTACCAAAATTTCTAATGTAGGTGAATTATACCCTTCGAAAAGGGTTTCGTTATTTCTTCATGAAATTCTGTTTCATTTGATAACTCGTTCCTCAAAATCCATCACTGTTGAGAGGTGGTAAAGAGTCTTAAGCTGTACATACTAAACTTTTAACAAGAATAACTCACTAGAATAGACACCCATACAGTTGAAATATTTAAAATAACAGATAACTTCATTACCAATTTTCAGCCATCGCTATTCACTACTGATTTCGAGCTGAGTAAGTGACCATCATTAAAACTATTGATAGTCAGTGGACGAGAATTTGATGCTCTGCAACTTTTATTCTATGAGCTTTTTCTCTTAGAGAACTCAGTTCCAATCTGAAGGGCCATTTATAGTAATTTGTCTCAGTTTTTGAGGGTTTGGTAAAAATCAGCATTCGTTAAAGTGGTTATTGATTATACCTCTAAACCAAATTAATAAGTTTAGATAAGCGTTCAGCGAACAATTTAACGTTCTTTAATTTCTTAAAGAGTATGTTTTTCGCTTAGATGTAAGGTTTAGAAGTTATAAGTGAAAAAAAAAAAGCTTTTCCCGATGTCCTGATTCAGTAATATTTTTCTTATTATCAATTGTTGTTAATGTAAAAGTGGCTGTTTCAGATGATACGACGAAGATATGCCGGCCTCATTACCATTCAAAGACAACTCATAATCTATCTAGGAAGTCTGGCATGCAAGTAACCAGAACTTTTGCCCTTGGATGCCAATACCAAAATGGTTTATCTCTCAGCTGTTGGTATAAATTCCTTGCGAGTAGACGTTGAGACATCTTCCGCAGACACACCACAAGTGGAAACATGAAGCTGATTGCCGTAGTCGTCGCTGTGACCTGCATCGTCTCTGCCGCCATCACACCTTCTGGCTTTGGGACAGTCTTCCACACCATCCACCTTCTCACTGGAGGGAAATGAATCACTTAATTTAATGCATTGAATCCTTTATTGTTTATTAAGAGACCAAGATTCTGAGATAAAGCTTAAATTATTGTTTATTATTTGTTCTGACACCCTTCGAGACGATCAGCCCTGATGAAGGCCTGAAGCTTAGTCCGAAACGTCGGCACAAAGAAAAATAAAAATAAATATTATTTGTCTATTTTTACTTTATATTTTCATTGACCGAAAAACCCAACCAACTTATCTTCAATTTAATTATTTACTTTTTTTTTCTCGGTTTGTTACAATTGAACATCAAGTTATATTGTAATGTGACAGTAGTATGGCATTCTTAAATCATAGTTAGTTTATATATATATATATATATAAAAAAAAAAAAAAAAAACTGCCACTACAACCCATGAAGGGTCTTTGGTTCAGAACTATGTGAGAAAGTATGTTATAAGGACATGGTTGGGCAAGAAGGTGATTTGACTGAGACCACGCTCAACTGTCAGGTTTTCTCCCTCAATTAATTATTTAATTAAGAGTGCCCACTTTATAGAGGCTGGATGGTTCCCAGAATGATCTCTCGACCATAAAGTCGGTCCACGGCCGATGAAAAATTACTATCCATCAGCTGGACTCGAACCCACTGAGTTACCCCGCTTCCAGTTTAATTTTAAGCCAACTCAAATACATAAGTTACAAGAATATTTGTTTAACTTTGTGAAAGCAGGATTTTCTTATGGGTTTCTCACATATTTATGATACATAAATGTCTATTCTACAAATCGTTATGACAGCTATTACTTATTACAAAAGACATTTTACAGATATTTTTTAATGTCCAATGCTACAACTTCTTGTCAAAATATACTGATGATAACTGAGAATATAAGATAAAGGTTTTCATTATTAGTAATCATTCTCTTATCGGTAATAATGCCACCACATCGAGATATATTTTTATTGGGATTGAAAGGTAGTGCCGGGAAATTACCCCGGGACACCCGATGGGGGCTTCGATAATCATGGGCCACTTGTTAAGAATTTAAAAAATAAATATAAAAAACGTATTAAAATAATTAATTTTAAGTTATTAATCAAGCAAATGTATTAGATAAATATTGAATGAAATATTATTTATTTTATTTTATGCAATTTGCACCTGCGCAGTTGCGCATCTAGCAAATTTGTTGTATTTTTATTGTCTTGTTGTAATTGCTTGATTTTTTTTTTATTGATGAAGTAGGTCTCTTGGCCATTTTCTTCTTAATCTTCGTTGCTCAGGTAACAGGGAGCAGGAGATAGAAAGAACCAGAGGATTGGAGTGATTTTGGGTTGAAGAATGATATGTAGTGTATTTGTCGTGGATGTAGGATTTTACTGTTGTTGTGTTTAAGTCGTTATGTATAGTGGTGTTTGAAATGTACCAAGGTGCGTTAGCAATTTTTCGTAAAATTTTTGATTGTGCTGTTTGTATTTTGTTTATGTGTGTTTGTTTTGCTGAACCCCAAAGTTCTGCTCCATATGTCCATATTGGTCTCAGTAAGGTGTTGTAGATAAATCGCTTGTTTCGTAAGTTAAGTGAAGATCTGTAGTCCAGAAGATGTGGAAGTTGGCTATATCGTCTGGTAAGTTCTTGTCTTTTTAATTTCGTATGTATGTTCCAAGTAAGTCTTTTGTCTAAGTAGAGTCCAAGGTACCGTACATAGCGGTGATATGGATGAAATAAAATTCAAATATTAGGTAATATAAAACAACTTAAGAAATAAATTAATTTTTTTCTGGGGAAAAAAGTTATTACCCAGGGGCGTCAAATATTTAAGGCACTGCAGAAAGGAAACAGTAAAGTTTCTTCTTTAGCTTTCCTCTTTAGTGCCTTTCAGCGTAGAGGAACATTCAGCCAGAATTCCATTCTTCTCTATTTCTTGCTAGGTTCCTCGCCTGTCGAAGGTCCTTCTCCCTCGCCCTACAGAGTCGCTCAATGTAGTCAAGATAGGACATTCTGGGGCGGCCCCTAGGTCTTCTGCCATCTGGGACATATTCCATTGTCTTTAGAGGATCTCTGTGGTCGTCCATCCTGTTAGCATGGCCGAACCACTTTAGCTGATGAGTTTCAAGGAGCTCTTTCTGTGGGGCTATCTGCAGTTCCTGACGGATACTTTCATTGCGAACTCGGTCTCTCCTTGTTTTCCCAACCGTCCTTCGCAGAAATTTCATTTCGGCAGCGGTGATTATACTCTCCTGTCGGTCTGTTAATATCTAGCTCTCCGCTCCATACAAAAGTATAGGTGGATACACCGTCTTGAAGATGTGCAGCTTGACGTCTTCGCCTACTTCTCTCTTCCCTACCACAGTGTTACATATCTGGTAGTAAACTGTATTTGCCATATTAATCCTGTTGGATATTTCCGCGTCTACATTCCCAGATCAGTCCAACACTGTACCCAGGTATGTGAAGTCTGTCACCACTTCTAATTCTTCTCCAGTGCAGTCTTAAGCGACCCACCAATATGGATGTATATAGTTTGTACGCAACTGGCGAGACGCATATGGGCCTGTAGTTAGAGCATTCTGCCTGTCATCCTTTCTTGTGAATCGGTATTATAATATTATATTCCCAATCCGTTGGAATTTTTTTTTTGCCCCAGGCTTTCTGGAATAGGACTAGCAATGCTCGCACTAGCTCAGGGCCGCCATTCTTTATTAATTCAGCTACTACACCATCCCGACCTGGGGCTTTTATAGTTTTCATTTTGTATATGGCTCTCTCTAGTTCTTTTTCCTCAATCACAGTAAAGTTTAAGTAAGGTAAATAAGAGAAGTCTTATAATCGAGACGTATATCATTTAATAAAAATATGTATAATCAATAATAAATTCAAATATGCATACACAAAAAAAAAATGTAATTACAATATAAATTGCATTGTCCTCAATGCAAGAACAAACATTTTTTTTTATAATTGATTAAAAAATAACAATGATGCTTAAAACGTAAATGCAAGAAAGAGTTAATTAGATAGGTGAATGTGTTTCATGATCAATATAAAACTTGATTTAATACGTAAATCCTAGTCAAATAATGTTCTGTGATATATCTGCATATTTATAAAGGGTAAATAAAGAAAAATAAATGTAAGAACAATTGGGGCCGAGTACTAGGGGCTCGCGGGGTTTGAGCCCCCCTACAAATTGCTATAGTATGAAATTCATGAACATACCTATCGTGTATATTACAATTCCATTACACAAGACTGTATCTATCCACTAGCAGGTATGGTATAATTTGTTTAACGGTGTCCTATTTCGGATTCATAAATTCACCAAAACTTTCAAAGAAATCATCTATTAAAATTCTATACTGTATTAGTTCAATATAAGTATTTTGTGTGATATCTTTTTGTTATTAGGACGGGATAGAAACAACTGAATACCTGCCTGCATGTATTATATATTGCATATAGGCATATAGCGTATATTCCAAACAATATCGTCGCTCAAAACTTCACTAATTTTAACATATCCATAAAGAATCTGTATTAGAGAAATGAATGAAATAAAATTCAAATATTACATAATATAAAACGGCTTATGAAATATTTAAATTTATTTTTTTTAAGGGTGGGGAGATGACATTGCCCGGAGTTGCCGAATGTCTAAGGCCGGCACTGAATCTACTTCGTGTGAAGCACAAGCGGATCTACAGGGAGAGGAAGGGGTTCTCGGGCTGAAGCTCTCCCCCTCTCCCCTCCCCAAATGGTAAAATGGAAATATGTTTTATGAAAACTATATTTAAATTACTATATTTAATATTTAAAAATTATCTCTAAAAGTATTATTGCTATATACAATATTTAACATTATTTTCTATGATTCAATAAAATCTTATAGTTTTTAAAGCAATAAAAAGTAAATAAATGATTCGATTCAGTGACAGCAGTGAAAGGATAGACACTGTACCCAATAACATAAGAAACAGTGACAGACAGTAGAGACCATAAATCGTTGGAATCGTAAAAGCCACTTGCTAAGCACAACTTACCAAATACACAGACTACTTTCTATGATAATCCGTCAAGGGGTAGTAGCTGTCCTTCCAAGAAGCCGATGGAAGAAATTCCTTGAAGTTTTGCCGCTTCTTCTTCTTCTATTAACCTCTTTCTTTCCGCCCATCTATAAACTTTTTATAGGTTTCCTTCTACTCCAGACTGTTTACATACTTGCGGGGGGATAGGTTCATGGAAGCTGGGACACCTGTCCAGTTCCGGCGGTATTAACGTGCCACAGCTTCCGATAATCTGAAAAACTCCGATATCCATGGCTTCCGATGGTGGAAGAAGCTCTTATAAGGCACTGAAAAAAGGTTAATGTAGTGAAATACCTCCCCCCGCACGCGTTAATGGGCTATGTGAAGTTATGTTCTTCGATGTTCTGTTCTCGCATTACTCACACCACGGAGGCTAAGTGCCAATCACCATTATAGGGGTAGAAATTGAGTAATTATAAAGGTTTTTAAACTTTATGTTTGGTTTAACAATACTCTCTCATAAAATATAAAAACAAAAAGCTCATCAGAAAATATTTATAGAAATTTTTTAACATACATTCAGAGTAGCGGATATCATTCCATTAAATTTAAAATACATCTAGAATTGTATACTTTATGATAATGAATTGTAAAATAGTATTAAAAAAAGTTACCATATCCTTTATATAAAATGGAAGAAGATTAGGCCAAATCATAGTTGAGAAGATTTCACAAACATTTAGAAAAAGTGAACTAAAAGTTTGTTTTTGATTTTTCAGAACTATATCAATACTCCAGTTTACAGTTCTCTCAAAAGGTTACGTAGGGTATCTCGGGCTGTACTTGGACAGAAAACATCTGGAACATACGCACCAAATTAAAAAAAACAAGAACTGGCCACACGATACCAACAACTGTTGGCTCTTTTGGACAACAGATCTCCACTCAACTTACAAAACAAGCGACTACTCTACAC